ACCAGACACAAAAGGACAAATATTGTACGATTCCACCTATATAAGGTACATAGAATAGGCAAATTCATAGAGACAGAAAGTAGAATAGAGGTTTCTAGAGCTGGAGCGAAGGGGAATGAAGAATTAGTGTTTTATGGACACTGAGTTTCTGTTTGGGATGTTGAAAAGTTTTGGAAATGGATAGTGGTGATGATTGAACAACATCGTGAATGTATTTAATGCCACTGAATCACATACCTTAAAATGTTTAAAATGTTAAATTTTGTGTTATGTTTAAAAAAAAAAATAGCCCCCCAAATCATAATAGGTCAGACATAGTGGTTTGAGCCAATAATCCTAGCACTTTGGGAGGCCAGGGCAGGCAGATTGCTTAAGCCCAGGAATTTGAGAGCAGCTTGGGTAACATGGTGAAACCCCATGTCTACCAAAAATGCATGCAAAAATAAAAAAATTAGCCAGGTGGTATGCCCTTTTTGTCCCAGCTACTTCTGAGGCTGAGGTGGGAGGATTACTTGAGCTGGGGAGGTCGAGGCTGCAGTGAGCCATGATTGCACCACTGCACTCCAGCCTGGGTGACAGAGTGAGACCCTGTCTCAAAAAAAAAAAAAATATATATATATATATATATATTTATTTATTTATTTATTCCAAACTCAGTGTATGGGCATGCTTACTTAACTGATTGAAATTTGCCGAGTTTTAAAACATAGTTCTTGAGCATTTATTGAGCATTTACTATATGTCAGCCACTGTGGTAGATCCTTTATGTGGATTAACGCATTGACTCCTCTCCACAACCTTATTAAGCATAATACAGTTAGCACCAATTTGTAGATGAGGGATCTGAAGCATAGAGAGTTTAAGTAACTTACCCAATATCATTGCTAAAATGAGAATCACTAGGATAAAATACATCCCAGAACTTCATCCCAGATAATCTGACTTAAGACTTACTGTCTAATTGATAAACTATACTATCTCACTTTTGCTGAGTTTTAAAAGTGCGCTTAAAGCAATATGTGACTTTCCACAATTTTCCACAGACAATTATTGCACATTCCTTTCCTCTGGGTGTGTTGGTGGCTGTGATTCCTGCCTGCCAGCCTCAGCAAGACAAAACATGTTCAGAGAAAAGGTGGATGGTTCACTCTTAAGGGAAGTGGTAGATTTGGGTTTGTTTCAGTAATTGTCTCAGTAATGGTATAACCTTCTCTGAGTTTTTTAATATGATCTAGTTTCATTGCAGTGAAAGGAAGCTTTAACATTGAGATCAAAGAAAATATTTTTCTAAAAGCAGTGAATGTGGTTTTGAATGATAGGGTACTTGTACTGTGAATAGTAGTATACAGTATTTGAACTGTATAAGGCCTTATTATTATTATTTTTGAGAAGGAGTCTGGCTTTGTCACCCAGGCTGAAGTGCAGTGGCGTGATCTTGGCTCACTGCAGCCTCCGCCTCCCAGGTTCAAGCAGTTCTCCTGCCTCAGCCTCCTAAGTAGCTGGAACTACAGGTGTGCACCACCACACCCAGCGAATTTTTTGTATTTTTAGTATGGACAGTTTTCACCATGTTGGCCAGGCTGGTCTTAAACTCCTGACCTCCTAAAGTGCTGGGCTTACAGGCATGAGCCACTGCACCCAGCCTGTATGAAGCCTTTAAATAACCCTTCCCCATCCTCAAACATGCCTTTCAGCTTAGTTTATGTTATCAATATCACTTATCTAAAATGTTTGAGATCGGAAGTTGAATATCCCTTATCCAAAATGCTTGAGATCGGAAGTGTTTCAGATTTCAGATTTTCTTTTTTTGGATTTTTGGAATATTTGCCTATATATAATGAGATATCTTGAGGACGGGACCCAAGTCTAAAGACAACTTTATGTTTCTAATGCTGACATGATGCCACAAGGAGAAAATTCTATAGCTCACTTTATGTGAGAGGTTGAAGTCAAAAGTTTTATTTCATGTACAAAACTATTTTAAACCATTGTATAAAATGACCTTCAGTCTCCGTATATAGGACTGTCTCAGAACTGCTTTACCAATCTGTGACCTTTTTCATTCAAGTGACAGTAAAGCTATTTTTCAGGCCTCAGCCTTAGGAGGACACCTGCTTTTTGCATGCACTGTCTCATTTAATATTGTCGGGTAGATGTTAGAGGCCTCATGTTAAAGAGTAAAATAATAGAGGATCAAAAAGATTAAGTAACTTGCCAAAAGTGCAGCTAATAAGTAGTTGAAGCATGCTGAGAACTAAGGGCTGCCTTAATATCCATGTCATTCTTCCAGCTCTGGCAACAGTTTTCTAATACAAGTTCTTTACCCCATTTATGTTGTGAAACTAAGAACGTAGTATTTTAAGTGGCTTAAAATTTCATGTAATCAGAGTATGGCTAAATGTTACTTTCCTGTTTTATATGTGCCTAAAGTAAAGTATACCCTTGGTCATTTCATAACGTGTAACAATTGATATGATTAAGCCACGATAGAATTCTATTCTAAAAGCTCAGCAAAGCTGGAAACAAAAGCCTCCTCTTTGGTAGGGAGTATTGCAGCACTCTTCTTGCAAGGACATTCACTTTTCTTGCCTGAAAAGCAAATGCACCACTGTTTATGTAGTCTACAATCTAGGCAAAGGAGGAACAGTGGTTTTAAAATTATTTCGAGAAAGAAACTAGAAGATACTTGTATGAGGTGGGCAACCGTACCTTCCATTTTCATAAATAATTGCTCAAGCTTCTTCACAGTGATGGTCTGCATTTCTTATATAGCAAAATCTCTGGAGATTTGGAATGTTTTTGATGGTCAGAACTAGGAGGCATGGACCTGACAACTTCTCTAGCCAGTCTCTTCATTTTAGATAAGGAAACGATATAGGTCAGAGAGTAAAATGTCTAATCCAAGGAAACAATGTAGCTCAGAGTAAAATGTCTAATCCAAGGTCTCCTGGAAAAATAACAGCAGAACTGAAGTCTCTTGCTCCCTTTCCAGTGCTCTCTGATTTTATGTTACTCTGTCCCAGCAAGGAATGTTATCTCGAGGTAAAATGGTTTTGTATAATAGTTATCTCTGAAGCTCATGTTGTTTAAGACCTGACAGATAATCCTTTGGTAGTATGAGTCTTGCAAGTTTTGCTAATGTCCTCGACGATCTAGTGTCGCTCATCTGCGCCTCGGTCATGTTTTCCTTCCCCTCCCCACACGGTAACTAAAGTACCCACATTCTTTCTAACTGCCCATTAGGCGCCTGCTGCTCTTGGAATCCTTAGACTTCTATGGGCATTTGGAACTTCTGCTGTTGTGTTTTATGAATAATAGTCCCCTTTCCGTTGACATTTTTCTGGTTACATCATTTTATTTACCAATGTATTATTTTTTAACAAATTGTACATATCAGTAACATTGAATATTAAAGTAAGTGATAAAATGGATCAAGCAGGAAACTTGACCATTACAAGTCTATGCTGACTAAATAACTGAGATAATCACAATGCAGGTTGCCATTTTCATTATTCAGGACCCTTTCTTGACCTCCTTTAGGAAAGGGAGTCATCAATTCTGTTCTTTTTCCTTACCTTTGCTTTAAAAGTCCATCCTTCTTTGGCAATAATCGTCAAGGGTTTTATTTAACTCCCTTTTACTAAAAAGGAGCATTACCAAATCTCATCTGTTTTTCACAAAGAAGCATGGAATCATACCTTGATAACTATGTGGGAATAATGTAATCAACAAAAGAATAGAATTTGGGAAGCTGACCTTACCACAGTCTGTGTGAGATGAAATGTCTTAAGCATAGTAGTGTGGCTGAAGAAAAGGGAAAGACAACACGGATTCTCTTAGTTTCTTTGTAGTTCTCCATGGAAAACTCCTTTACCTACATTGGGACCCTTTTGGTCTTGCTACTATTGTGGTTAGAAAATTAGAAAGCAGAAGAATCACCTATGTTTTTAGAAATACCCTGAAAAATGGCAGGCCATCACTGGGCCTTGTACTTCTAATGGCCAAAATGTATACTGACATAAAAGGTCTACAAGAGAATTCTCTAAAATACAGGTAGTCACTATAGGTGATCATTTTTCAAGAAGCTCAACAGTTGGAGTTTTAGTGCTAAAGACGCCATGCTGGATATAACTGGAATACCCCGTACTGCCAGAGTTGATCTGAAATAAAAGACGAGGTCTTATACAAATTACTACATTGCAGTGTAGTGTACCAGGTTCAGAGGAAAGTAACTTGACTTCAGGCTCATGTTATAGGGAAGGATGTGGATTTCATTAGATTGGAACATAAATGGGCTTAAACAGGAGGAAAATATTCTACCTGTTAGGATCTGTAATTGCTTAGAAAGATAGGGAGTATTTTACTCTGGGAGACAAAGAATGGACCACTGTGGCCAGGGCAGTGGGTTTCACATTGAAATCAAAAGATTGGAACTGGAAGGCAGTAGAAAGCAGGGTCCTGGGCACACTGTAGAGGGAGGACAGCTTCAGTCATGGTCATACACACGGTATTACTGAGGAAGAAAGATCCTTTCTGAGGCAAATAGCGAAGGGCATGCCTATAGGCAGATAGTCTGTTTATTTTGAACATGAATATTAGAACCAATACTGAGATTTTAGTGAAGGGTGAAGTTATAATTTATAACAATATTTACGATTTGGTGTATTTCAGTAGCTGTTAGTTAAGCATTTCTTTGTGATTTTTGAGAAGTTTGCTTTACTTCTTTTTATTAAGAAAAACATTTCACTAGCCATTAGCTCTGGCATCTGAATTTCTGCTACTATCCTGGCATCTAGAAGTATTTCTGATGTTATCAGACAGAGTTTAATCGGAAAGGCTCAGCTGCTTTAGTCGCTTCATAGGATTCACACATTGATCTTCCTGTTCAGGTCTGTTTTAGTTTGGGCAAGCCCGGGCGTCGAGCTGTTTGTAATTGTTTTAATATGTTACACCATGATGGGAGTTGATCCTAACACAGGCATTTTCTTTACTTCTTAAAGGACTTTTTTCAGGAGATATTGCACCTTTAATGCAAGAAAAAATATTCAGTGCAGTCACACATGCTGTTGGTGATGAAGAAGCTGCTGAAGTAAATGCTAATGAGCAGCCGGAAGTACCGAAGCTCGTTCTGCAGTCTTTGTTTTCACTGATACGAGGTGAAGTTGAGCAGTTGGATTCAAGAACACTTCCCCTTTGCCTTCATCAGGTACTACGGCAGACCCTTCACTTTCAGCCCCACTGAAATGCTTATAGCAGTGTTGGGAGTGATCTAAAATGCTATCTTGGCTGGACGCAGTGCTTCATGCCTATAATCCCAGCACTTTGGGAGCCCAAGGCAGGTGGATTGCTTGAGCATGGGAATTTGAGACCAGCCTGGGCAACATGGTGAAACCCCATTTCTACAAAAAATACAAAAATTAACTGTGCATGGTCATGTACACCTGTAGTCCCAGCCACTTGGGAGGCCGAGGTGGGATGATCACTCGAGCCGGAGAGGTGGAAGTTGCATTGAGCTGGTGTGTGTTGTACCACTGCACTCTAGCCTAGTGAGAGAACCTGTCTCTAAATAAATAATATAAAATAAAAAATAAAATGCAAGCTCTGTAATTGATTCTGTCCCACTCATCATTGGTCAGCCCAGGGGAAAGTGACCCTAATAGGATATTGGGCATATTACTAACTGATCGCCACATTTTGGCCTTGCATAATCCATAGTTTAAACAATGGCTAACTTTTAAAATCAGAGATTAAGCTGTGTACAGATAAGAGTCAATATAGCAAGAGTTTGATAAGCATCTTCCAGGTGCCAGAGACTCTGGTAGACACTGGGGAAACAAAGATTACTTAGCAGAATATGCCCTTAAGAGAGCCACTGTGGCACAGGGGCAGCAGCCACACAGATAAGTCACTGTAGAATTTTGTGTTAGGTGTTAGAGTAAACATATGTTAAAGGTTCAGCAGCACAGAATGCGTGATTGGGTAATTCTGCCCTGTGGCCACTTGTGCTGGGTTTTACAGGCTTATTAGGCACTCAGAGGATTAACAGAATGGGCTGGTGCAGGAAGAAAGATCAGCCTGTGGAAGGCATGGCTGGGGGTATTATTGGAGGTTAAGGTGGAAAAAGAAGAGTTGAGATTGGACAGCTCGTGAGGTCAAGGCTTTGTTTCTAGGGACTGGGAATTTGTAATCACAAGAGTGCCAGAATCAAACTTGAATTTTAGAAAAAGAACTCTGTGGAATATTAGGAGGGTATATATATTAGAAGGTGGAGACTGGGGAGACTGGGCAGCCTTCAGGCCAGTGATGGGGAAACTTTTTTTTTTACATAAGAGCTAATTCAGAAGAAATTAAGATATTTGAGCTACATTTTATTTATCTGTTTTTTTATGTTTTTGAGACAGAGTCTTGCTGTGTTGCCCAGGCTGGAGTGCAGTGACACATCTTAGCTCATTGCAACCTCCACCTCTTGAATTCAAGCAGTTCTCCTGCCTCAGCCTCCCAAGTAGCTGGGATTACAGGCATGTGCCACCACGCCTGGCCAGTTTTTATATTTTAATAGAGACAGGTTTCACCATGTTGTCCAGGCTGGTCTCGAACACTTTAGTTGGCCCTTGGCCTCCCAAAGTGCTGGGATTGCAGGCATGAGCCACTGCGCCCGGTCTGCAATTTATTTTTACATAAAATGAAAATAACTGGTACATGGGAATGAGAAAGTCCCACTTTTTATTCCATTTACTTTTGTAATGAGAAGTGAATAATGTTTAATTTTTGTCCCATTTAGAAAAAAAGTGCAGCTGACTGCAAGTGCTCAATATTACATAGACACGCTCTTTGAGGCCGAGGCAATTTTGAATAATTGTCTATGTGAAAATAAAATAGAAAAACTGTTCTTGGAGTTCTTTCTTTCTTTTTTTTTTTTTTTTTTTTCCTCTCTGAGACAAAGTCTTACTCTGTTGCCCAGGTTAGAGTGCAATGGCACGGTCTCAGCTCACTGTAACCTCTGCCTCCTGGGTTCAAGCAATTCTCTTGCATCAGCCTCCTGAATAGCTAGGATTACAGGCGTGTGCCACCACACCCGGCTAATTTTTTTTTTATTTTTTATTTTTATTTTTTTTTTTAGTAGAGACAGGATTTCACCGTGTTGGCCAGGATGGTCTTGAACTCTTGACCTCATGATCCACCCGCCTTGACCTCCCAAAGTGCTGGGATTACAGGCATGAGCCACCATGCCTGGCCTCTTGGAGTTATTTCTAAACAGAATTTGCCTCTAATCCTAATTTAACAAAAATGATATGATGTTACATTAGGATTGGAGACAAGAGTATCCTCAGGGCAAACAGGAAATGGGATAAACATAGGCTGGGCACAGTGGCTCATGCCTGTAATCCCAGCACTTTGGGAGGCCAAGGTGGGCAGATAACCTTGAGATCAGGAGTTCAAGACCAGCCTGGACAACATAGTGAAACCTCATCTCTATTAAAAATACACATACACACAAAAATTACTCAGCCATAGTGGCACACCCCTGTAGTCCCAGCTACTCAGGAGGCTGAGGCAGAAGAATCACTTGAACCCAGGAGGCAGAGGTTGCAGTGAGCTGAGCTCACACAACTGCACTCCAGTCTGTGTGAAAGAGTGAGATTCTGTCTCAAAAAAAGAAAAAAAAGTAAAATAGGGCCAAGCGCAGTGGCTCATACCTGTAATTGCAGCACTCTGGGAGGCTGAGGCAGGTGGATTGCTTGAGCCCAGGAATTCAAGACTAGCTTAGGCAACATGGTAAAACTTTGTCTCTACAAAAAAATACTAAAAAATTAACGAGGCATGGTGGTGTGTGCCTGTAATCCCAGCTACTAAGGAGGCTGAGGTGGGAGTATTGCTTGAGCCTGGGAGTCTGAGGCTGTAGTGAGCCGTGATTGTGCCACTGCACTCCAGCCTGGGTGACAGCAAGACCCTGTCTAAAAAAAGAAAAAGGTAAGATAGGTTTTGTCCCAATTCAGGAAAATATATATTTTTACAAATTTATACTACCTCCTTTATGAACTTGAAGAATGCCTTTGGAGAAATATATACTCCTTCTGGCCTCTGAGGTGTCCCGAACTCACCGTAGCTGAGTAGCAGCAACACCAAGGCAGCTTTCTCCTCACTCAGCTTTCATTGCATTGGAGCAGTGGGTTGCACAGTGATCCTTTCTCTCCTGGGAAAGAAGGTTAGAGAATATAATGATGGTTCAAAAGTATGGGCTGTGACTTTTCCACCAGCTAAGTGGCTTTTGGTTTCTTCTGTTGTAGAGTAATAGAGGATTAAACGAGATAATGCATGTAAAAGCACTTAACATATGTTTGACATGACGTACAGTAGAAGCCAAAGAAATATTAAACATTTAAACTCTATTCCTATTGTCACTAATTTAGAGATTGCTCGTTGGAAATCAAGGCTAGGGGTCAGCAAAGAAATACTGATACCTTTAGAAAGCTGAGTAATCAAGGTGACAAGACTCAGTTGATAGCCGCCTCCTCAGCCCAAGAATACAGAATATGCTGTCACCTCCAAGGGACACACAAATTAGGGAGGGGTGGAGGTATATTTTATTCATTTTAGTAATTCCCAGCACATCACATGGTATATTTCACCTATATTTGCCAGGTGGTGACATTTTATCAAATTTTTGCTCTTTTCCATGTGTGCTCTTGCTCTCTTGAGCACACACACATATTTTTTCCACTGAAACACTTGAAAGTAATTTGCATTATGACACTTCGCCCCTAAATATTTGTACATAAATCTCCCAAGAAGAACTTACAAGGCCATTATCAACCCCAAGAAATTAGTCACTGATGCAATCAAATTATTTAATATACAACCCATATTCAAATTTCCCCAAAGTAGTTCCACAAATGTTCTGTGTAACTATTACCCCCCAACCCAGGATTCAGTGCAGGATGACATATTGCATTCGACTGTCAACATTCTTTAGTCTTCTGTCATCCAGAATGCTCCTGCTTTTCCCTCTATCTGTATCAGTCTTTCTTTCTCCCTTCTTTCTTTCTTTCTTTCACATAGACAGTTATGAAAAGTCTAAGAATTCATGAAGAATGTCCCATAATCAGGATTTTTCTAATTATTTCTTTAAGATTTTATTCAGGTTAAACATTCTGGGCAAAAGAATTCTGCTTAGGTAATATTCCATACCCAATTCTCTCTTGAACTCATTCCAATCTGGCTTTTGTGCCCACCATTGCCCCAAAATTTTACTGTAGAAGTCACCAGTGATCTCCATGTTGTTAAATTCAGTGGTCAGACCTCAGCTTTCATTTTGCTGGAGCTATTGGAAATATCAGGTTGATCACAGACTCTGTTTTGAAGCGTTTTCTTTTTTTCTTTTTTTGAGACACAGTCTGTCTTGCTCTGTTGCCCAGACTGGAGTGCAGTGGCGCAATCTCAGCTCACTGCAACCTCCACCTCCCAGGTTCAAGCAATTCTTCTGCTTTAGCCTCCTGAGTAGCTGGGACTACAGGCACATACCACCATGCCCAGCTAATTTTTTGTATTTTTAGTAGAAAAATAGAGACGAGGTTTTACTGTGTTAGCCATGGTGATCTTTGTCACCTGACCTGTTGATCTGCCAGCCTTGGACTCCTGAAGTGCTGGAATTACAGACATGAGCCACTGTCCCCGGCCAAAGCTTTTTCTTTATTTACCTTTGGGACCTCTCTTCTTGGCTTTTACCTCTTAGGTCACTAGCCATGCCTTCTCCGGCTCTTTTGCTGAGTTCCCATATTTTCCTTTTTTTTTTTTTTCCACTCCATCACCAGGCTGGAGTGCAGTGGCATCATCGCAGCTCACCGTAGCCTCCACCTCTCAGGTTCAAGCAGTCTTCCTGCCTCAGCTTCCCAAGTGGCTGGGACTACAGGCACATGCCACCATGCCCAGCTAATTTTAAAAATTTTTGTAGAGAGGGTTTCACCATATTGCCTGGGCTGGTCTCAAATTCCTGGCCTCAAGTGATCCTCCTGTAACCGGGGGACAGGAGCTGGACTGCAGGGGTCCCAAAGATGCTTACTACTCCCGATTGGATGTGTTTTCCCAGGTCCTTGGGCCTTACTCACCCAAGAATGGGAGAGGGCCCTGGTGGCGCAGTGAGCTCATTTAAGTAAATATCAGACCCAAAGATAAATTGCAGAAAAGTGGTTTATTAGGCAGAAAGAG